GTTCCAATATACAAACTGCTGAAGTCTAAAATCACAAGAAATATAAACTTAGGCGCGTAAACATAAGTATAAAAATCTTTAAAAACAAAGGTCTACATCTTCAATATTGGAGGGGAGGGGAGGGGAGGGAGGGGAGGGGAGGGAGGGAGGGGAGGGAGGGGAGGGAGGGAGGGAGGGAGAGGAGATTGAGTTTGATTACATATAAGAAACAACACATTTCAACAGAGCAATCCTAACCAGCCTGGTCATCTCAACAGTGAAATATTGGGCCACTCAGGTATAACCATCATGGCAACACAGCATTTCATGGCAGGACTGGCTACTTCATATAAAGCTGTATGTAAAACAAAATTTATTTCTTTCAAAATGAAACATCCAAGTGCAATAGAGTGAGCTAACAATATATAAATTTTAGCAGGCTGTTAGTAGAAATTTTCAATTTCATAAATTAAAAAAACATTCTTAGATAAAAATAAACTTCAAACAAAACAAACACATAACAAGATGGAAATAAAAGTCGAATAAGGGCAACAATGGAGCGTGTGCGCCCTGACCACTGCCACAGCAGGGCTCACCAGGCTTCTCCACCCGCCTGTCATCCACATCAACTGCAGGGACTGGTTGGAAGTGACAGATGCCAAACATACTTTTAAAAAGTTAGCACTACCAGTTGTAAAAAGGTCTCTAACCAGAAATCTCCACCAGGAAACAAATGGCCACACATCGAAGGGAAAGAGCTGTGTTTTATTTCATGGTGTGGTTCCCATGGTCACAGCTTCCATGTGTGATCAAATCCTTAGAAGTAAAAATAAGCTCTTTCCTTTAAACGTGCTTCCCTTATGTGTCTTCTCACCAGAACCCACGGAAGGAACTCTTGGCAGAGAAACCACCCAGGAGTCACTGTAGGGACTCAGTGTAAACTTTCAGAATATTCTGACTTTACCACCCCAAAGGCAGTTCTGTATAAGAAGATCTAAACTATGCACATCTCAAACTCTTCCTCAGAGCACAGTGACATTTATTTTAATCTGAAATAATCAGTAGCTTAGTGATTATAAAAACATGCACAGTCTGTAAGAGGATAAAAAAAATTTAAAAAGTGCCCTAGCCGGGTTTCTCAGTGGTTAGAGCATCCGCCTGCAGACCAAAGGGTCGCAGGTTCGATTCCTGGTCAAGGGCACATACTTCGCCAGCCCCAGTTAAGGGTGCGCATGGGATATAACCAATAGAAGTATCTATCTCACATCAACGTTTCTCTCTATTTCTCTCTCCATCCTCCCTCCCTCCCACTCTCTCTAGAAAACAATGGAAAAATATCATCGGGTAAGGATTAACAAAAAAATAATCTTAAAAGTATTTCACATTCCAGATCTTAAACCAGAATTCCTCTAAGATTTCAAAACATGGCCCATGTTTCATATTCTATTTGTAAAGATCCAATCACAGCTTATCATTTGAAAGGTTCCATCGTACTTATCCCAAATGCTTCCAGAATTTTTAGCTATTAGTCTGGAAAAACGAGAAACAGAAATAAGAAAGTCCCATCAGACAATCCTCAGAACGTGTGAACATAGATGCTAACGTTCGTGAAGGACCTGACATCCGGGGCTTCACCTGACCCCAAGCCCTGGCACCTGCCGAGAGCAAAGGAGACTAACCCTGAACGGAGGCTGAGTCCAAGCAGACAATCCCTTCACGAGACCTGATAAACTGCTGGCCTTCAATGTGTCCCCATTTAGTTTCATCCTGTGTTGTTCCAGGAGAAGTTATTTTCTTCCTGTATCAACAGCTCAGTATTCTAACAACACTGGATTCCATTTCTTTAACTTCTCACAGTTCATGATCATGTGAAGAAAGTAATTTTGCTTATAAAATTCCACACACAATAATAAGATTGTTAAATTTTCAGGAGAATCTAAACCTAGACAAATAGATCACTTCAAATAGAAACTATTTTGGCCCAACTTGCAACTAACAAAGGACGATTTAATTTGAGGAAATACTTTTCAAAGTTTCATCAGAGCTCCTCTAAGTTAGAAACCTCTACATGAAATAGCAGCATCACTCAGCTCTTAGTAAGGGAGAGAGAAATGCGGGTGCCTAAGCGAATCCCCTTCCCTAAGTCGGCTCACGGAGGGAGAGAGCAAGGGGAGGAGGGTCCCTGCCGTTCTCCTCCGTGTTACCATGTCCTGATTTGGGTGGGAGATCTGAAAACCCAATGAAAACGCCAACTAAAAATGTTTAAAGAAAAGAAAAATGTGAGAGCGAATTAAATGATAAAATGAATTGAAAAAGAGAACCAGAAATGAGAAACATTAGGTGACCCTTATAAATAGAGACCAAAATGAGACTCCATTTGTACTTGGTGTTCACGGGGGAGGGGCTCCAGCGAGCCCTCAGAGGACAAGAGGAAGCAGGTGGCTGCTCAGCATCAGCAGAAAGAGGCCCCGAAGAACCACCCTCAGCTTCTTCTCTACGCGTCCAGGGAGGGGAAGCAAAGCTCTGCGAATGCTGAAGGTTAGGAGTGTGCGGTGCTAGGAAAGGCCACTGGTCGGGTGGTCCGCAGCCCCCGTGCTCAGACACACTAGGCTTCTAGGAGGAGAAACAGAGAGGAGGGAGGAGGAGGAAGGAGAGGAAGGGGCAGAAAAGCACAGGTCATTAGTCACAGCAAGTTCAACACAGCAAGAGGCGCATAAACCCATCCTATGCTACCAGGGGGGCTGCGCTGCTCTGAGGCCGGGAGGTCACATTCTGAAGGAAACAGAAATGGGAATTTTCAAAGTGGCACCCGTTAGTGATGGCCAAACTAGAATGAAGTCACACATGCTCCAGAAACATGCACCTTCCTTCCCCCACTCCTTCCCACCCCAACGAAACTGCCAGAACCACATACAACGTGAACACAGAAGCATGGACACTCTCATGCAGTCCAGTGTCCAGTTCAGAGGCAAACCCCTTCCAGTGTGCGACTGTCCTCCCCGAGGGAAGGAGGACCTGCTCTCATCATCCCCCTGGGAGCGCACAGCCAGCGGGTTCTGGTTTGCAACCGGGGAAGGAAAAGTCTTGGGACCGTAAGGCCTAGGGCCGGCTGTATGGTTTTCCCGTCCTTGTTTCCTGCCCTAGTGACACTGGCCGTGGGAAGCGATTGCTACATAAAGTGCGATCAGACCTGACCTCCTGCTGGAGAAGAAACCCCCTCCAGCTGTGACAGCGGTTCCCTTCCTGGATGAAACGGCACTGCCCTTTCACAAGCTCATCAATCAATCCCCTCACACTGTCTCCTGGTTACATCTACGCATGTTTAAAGTTCATGTTCAAGCTTCTTCTTTAATCACAAATGTTTTCTTAAAACCAAATGATACAGATGACTGTTTTCAAAGCCGGCACAGGAACTGCCAGAACCACATAAAACGACGATTACCAAAGAAATACAAAAATTTCATTTCACAAAACTACGGTGGCACTTTGGGTTGCTTCTTGCTTTTCACGTGGAGAGCTCTAATTCATGAGTTGCTAATAAGGACGCTAAGTCACTGGATAAAACTAACAACCACGACAAACAGAACCGAGGCGTCAGGAAGTCTGAGGAACAGACAGACGCCACAGTTCGAAAGGCCACAGGGCAACGATTACGTCCTGGAGGAGCTGCGGCGGCCGGCAAAGGCGCCTGGGAGCTCCAGCACTGAGAGCCCGGCAGTGCCGGAAGGGAAGGCCCTCGAGGCTGAGGTCTGAGTCCAAGAGGAGAACCAGGCCAGGCCACGCTCGTGTCTGTCCACACGGACATGCGAACCCAACGTCCGCCTCGTCGCGAGGGCACACACTGTCGGTGACAGAGAAGACTGACTGGGCCAACAGTGCCAGCCTGATCACACTGCAAGCGAAGTGCGGTCAGCATCCCAATCCAGCACACTTCCTACCAGCTCCCTAGGGAACAGACACGGCATCCCTGCGGCGTGGGCCGCTGCTTTGAAAACTTCGCTCACTGCAAATACACTGGGGCGGGGTGGTGCTGGGTGTGAGGTGGAGCCACAGGCACTCAGTGCTAGCTGACAGACTACCAAAGCCCTAGTCACAGGCTCGGAGTTAGAGTCAGAGACAGATTTCAAAATGAACAGTTAAGAGGAAAATAAAGAAAAAACAGACTGAGGGCAAAAGAGAGAAGAAAAGAACTTTAATCCTCAGCTCACAGGTTCCCTATGCAGATCCATGGGAGCACTCTGAGTGCAGTTTGTTCAGGGGAGAGACCTGCCTGCAGAGCTGGCGGGACCGGAGGCCTCATCTCCATGACGACTATTCTGCCTCTAACAGCATATTTTTAAGGTCCATCAGTTCTTGTTTGGTACAACTACACCAAATATTCAAAGAATATCAAAGGAAATTCACTCTTCCCTTTCCACTGCTGGAGATGTTAGGGGGCAAATGCCCTAGGTCAGTGGTTCTCAACCTTCTGGCCCTTTAAATACAGTTCCCCATGTTGTGACCCAGCCATAAAATTATTTTTTTTAATATATTTTATTGATTTTTTACAGAGAGGAAGAGAGAGAGATAGAGAGTTAGAAACATCGATGAGAGAGAAACATCGATCAGCTGCCTCCTGCACATCCCCCACTGGGGAAGTGCCCACAACCCAGGTACATGCCCTTGACCGGAATCGAACCCGGGACCTTTCAGTCCGCAGGCCGACGCTCTATCCACTGAGCCAAACCGGTTTCAGCTAAAATTATTATCGTTGCTACTTCATAACTATAATGTTGCTACTGTTATGAATCGTCATGTAAATATCTGATATGCAGGATGGTCTTAGGCGACCCCTGTGAAAGGGTCGTTCGACCGCCAAAGGGGTCGCGACCCACAGGTTGAGAACCGCTGCCCTAAGTTTAAACACCCCAACAAGAACAACAATACCCTTATCACAGAATGACCCATCTGCTTCCATTATCACCCTCCGCAAGGAGCTGACCCAGGTGTGCACTGCGACTGGGGAATCCGGGACCCCTTACCTGCAGTGTCATTCCCTTGCGTCCCGTGGTCGCCGTTGGCCAGCACTGCTGCTCTAGGAGATGGAGCACCTGCAACCAGCACGAAGAAGATCACCATGTGACGAATAAAACATGAAAAACAAATCCAACCACTATCTAACCAGGAGTTTGTGTCACAGCATTAGCTTAAAGCAGGTAAAAATCAGTCCAAAATGTAAAGACCCAATGAAAGGAAACCCCGAACGGAAGAGAACTGTGACTCATGCCCACAGCCCCGCTCTTGTTGAGCACGCCAAGAGGAGGAGGGCTTCCTAACAGCAGCCGAAGCCTTTTCCGTTCTGTCAGCTGTCAGATCAGCATCAGATTCAATAAACCATCATGAAGCACCACTTGTCTACTCTCTGCAATTCAAACCAGACCTCCCGAGGGCCAGGGCCACTGACAACAACCCCATGAAAAGCCCCGGCACCACCACCACACTCCTGGCCCTGAGGGAGGCAGGGAGGCCAACAGCACCTGGGAGCTCAGGGCTTTCTCTTCCGCGTGAGCTGTTCCAATGAAGCAGAGCGGGTCTCATTCCCTAGTAAATACAGATGCCGACTGTCTTTCCAGGTGTTTATTTGCCACCCCGTTGTTTTCTCTGGTGAACTGAATGGTCATATTATCTACTAGAGGCCCAGTGCATGAATTCTGCACAGGTGGGGTCCCTGGGGTGGCCTGCGGGGATCAGGCCAAAACCCGCAGTCCAACGCCACCTGCAGTTCCTACCTGCCGCTCCCACTCGTCCCGGCCCCACTGCTCCTGCTGTGGGCTCATGACTACTAATCAGGCCCGATTGGGAGAGGCTAGCGCCACCATAGCGGTGCTCACCAGCCATGAGCCCTGCATCTGGCACCCTCCTGAGGGGAGTGGCCTGCAGGATTGTGCCAAAACTGGCTCTCCGACATCCCTCGAGGGGTCCCGGATTGCAAGAAGGTGCAGGCCAGGCTGAGGGACCCCACCGGTGCATGATCGGGGCAGGGGAGGGACCACAGGAGGGCTCCAGGGCATGTCCAGCCCCATCTCACCCAGTCACGATAGGCCGGACCTCAGCAGCAAGCTAACCTACCGGTGGTGGTCAGTGCACATCATAGCAAGCAGCTGAGCGGCCTTAGCATATCATTAGCATATTATGCTTTGATTGGTTAAACAGTCAACTGCTCATGGGATAACCAGACACTTAGCATATTAGGCTTTTATATATATAGGATATATATAAAAGTGCACCCTCAGGAGTTCAACCAACCGGGAGTTCAATCGCTCGCTATGACATGCGCTGACCACCAGGGGGCGGCACGGAGCGAAGGGAGGACCCAGCTGGCAGCAGGCAGCCAGGGAAGGGAGGCTCTGGCCGCAACTGGCAGCCGCTAGGGATCTTACCCATGCATGAATATCATGCTCTGGGCCCCTATTTTTACTATGTTTTAACTGAGTATTATGCTAAGTGAAATAAGCCAGTCAGAGAAAGACAAGTATCACATGATCTCACTCATATGTGGAATCTAATGAACAAAATAGATCCAGAGACATAGAAGCATGGAACAGACTGTGGAATCTCAGAGGGAAGGTGGGGGAGGGTGGCTGGGTGGGAGGAGATCATCCAAAGAACTTGTATGCATTTATGCATCACCCATGGACACAGACAATAGGGTGGTGAGGGGCCTGGGAGGGGGGGGGAGGGGGGGGACTGCTGCGATCCCTGCCATGCCAGCGTAAAGAGGTCTGCACCACTGCCAGAGTCAGAAACGTGCTTGTAAGAAACAAACGTTCTCCAGCCCAGGTGGAATCTGTGCCGAAGTAGAGCAGAAGCTTTTAGGTGAAGGAAAAGGGTGGGGAAGACATCGAAGATAGCTGGGTTAGGATGGTCGTTTACAGGTAGGTAGTTTATATCTTTGATATCTTTACCCTGTGCAACTCAGAATTTCTCAGCTGCAGAAAGAGCCTGACCAATTAACCTCTTTTTAAGAAATATCTGCTTTTCTTTTCTTTCTTTCTTTTTTTAATTGATTTTTAGAGAAAGATGGAGGGACAGAAAAACATCGCCTTCAGTGAGAAACACTGATTGGTTGCCTCCTGCACATGCCCAGGGATTGAACCCGAAACCTGGGTATGTGTCCTGACTGGGAATCGATCCCACCACCTTTCGGTGTATGAGATGACACTCCAACCAACTGAGCCACACTGGCCAGGGCTCTGCTTTTCTTTCAGACTAGAGGACCGTTATTATGAACTGTAACTCTTGGTACTATTTCTTTTTCTTTTCCCAAAAGAAATTAGTTAAGAGATGTATTTTCAAATAAAAATTTTAAAGAAATTATTTTTGCAAAAATCTCATGCTGCCCAGCCGGTATGGCTCAGCAGTTGAGCGTCGACCCAGGAACCAAGAGGTCATGGGTTCGATTTCCCGGTCAGGGCACATGCCAGGGAGGCACTCTATCCCCAGTAGTGGGCATGCAGGAAGCAGCTGAACGATGATGATTCTCTCTCATCTCATCGACGTTTCTCTCTCTATCCCTCTCCCTTCTTCTCTAAAAAAATCAATGAAAACATAATTTTTTAAAAAAATCATGCTGCTTTTTTAATGAAACTCCTTCCTTTCAGTTTCTCAGGCCCAAACCCTTGGAGTCATCCTTGACAATAAACAGGTCTTGTGCCCTAAGAGGAACAGTTCTGGTGGCACGGGATCAGTGCAAGTCAAATGGGAGTGGGTTCGAAAGAGAATGAGAGGAAAGGGATTGGGAGGTCGCTTTTCCAGAGAAGATAAGTGAGTTGATGAATTGAACATGGGGTTGAGACAGCATTTTTTCAATGAAGGAAAAGATTATGTTCTGTTTAATGCTGGTGAATGACCCAGTTAAAAGAGAGGCGCTGATGATGCAGAAGACAGAGGAGATCATTGCTGAGTCGTGCTCCTGAGTTAGAGTACGAGCAGTTCACCCATAACAAGAAGAGCAGAGCAGAGTAAAAGGCCAAGATGAAGGTAGGCAGGGGAGGAGGGGGCAGAGGTGTATGGAAGTGTTCTTCTGGTTGAGACTACTGAATCTCTTTTCTCAAGGTCAATCGAAAACATGAACAGGGGAGCAAGTACGGAAGTCCTGGAGGTTTGAACAGAGAGGAGACGATGTGGAGTTGAACAGAGAAGTGGAAGACTAAAAATGCATATGAATTCATAGCAGAGTCCTCATGTTCATGCTCTTTATGTAAATAAAATGAGATTCTTACCTTTCCTGGACATAATATTTGTATGGCTAATAATAAGTGAATCTTTATCTATGAGACATTAAATCAAGCAGAAAGTATGCATGAAGACAGTAAGGTTTCACAGAAAGAATATAAGTTTAAAATCAGAACATCTGGGCACAGGTTGTGATTCTGTCACTGTTAACTAAACGATCAATTGCAAATCCCTCGTGCGTAATAGCCTTCGTGGCCTCAACTGGAAAAAGGGACAGTAGCTCCCTCCCATGGTTATCATGAGAACTAAGTGCAATGATACTGGAGGCAGTACTGTGCCAATTGTTAAGCAAATGTAAACAACTATTATTATTCTCATTGTTAATAACTGCAGATTGATTGACTATAGATTGGTTAAACTATAGCCCAACTATAGATAACTATAGATTCGATCACTAAATTATAAAGCAACCTTGTGGAAACCCTGAAATTTACTTTTGCCTTATATAAAAATCTAGCTTAAAAGACATTACTAGACTAGGCCATAATTGTGAGACTAATATACAAGCAACTTATCAGAATAAAATGAAATAACAGCAAAACAAAGGTTACAAGAAAATTGAAAATAAAAAAGAGACTGAGATTCTACCATACACACATCTAATGATCTAAAACTCTAAGCTCGGGGAGAGAAGAATAGAAACAACCCTGCAACATAAAAGCATTAGGTTTTAGTGGAAGAAAAAGGCTTGCACGCTTCCCTGCGGACGAGAATTGCTGGACTCATCACTGGGATGCTGCGCACTACTGGCAAGTCCGAATTCAAAGATGCTATATTGCCTTTTTTCATGGATTCCCCCAGAGGGACTCCCATTTCATGAAATGAAAACTCTCTCAACAAAACACATACAGCACTGACAACACAAGTGTGTAACTTATCGCATGCTCTGAGATATAAGAATATTCTAATTTACTTGGTTTTTTAAATCTCTTTTTCCACGAGAGATTTCGGGGTGCCCCAGCTGGCAAATCAGTTTGGCAGAGAAGAGCAGCAGCAACGTGCTGCGAGGAAGAGAGCCATGCGTCTTTGGGCAGAATGGGAGAGGTTCAGCATGGTCCCAACACAAGAGCACCTTCTTGTGCCAGTGAGGCCTGTGCCAATCTCGCCCTCTGGCGGCCCACTAGAGTTGGTTGTGATGCTCTGCAATGGAAGGCTGAACAAGAAAACCTTCTGCAGCATCCAGCTGTCATCCTCTCTACGACTGACGTGACGCGAACCCGTTCTCTTGGCTCAAGCTTCTCTGTCTGGGACGTGCAGCCCAGTCACCAGCAGGAGTTTGTTAAGATGCAGACTGCGGAGCCCCATCCCGAGTCACATTCCCCGTGGGCCTAAGAATTGCAACCTGAACAAGCTCCCAAGTAATACTGACCTGCTGGTCAAAGGACCATACTTTGAGAACCACTATCTTAGATTAAAACATTATACAGAGCCCTGGCCAGTTTGGCTCAGTGGATAGAGTGTTGGCCTGCAGACTGAAGGGCCCCGGGTTCGATTCCGGTCAAGGACACATGCCTGGGTTGTGGGCTCCATCCCCAGTAGGGGGCCTGCAGGAGGCAGCCAATCAATAATTCTCTTTCATCGTTGATGTTTCTATTTCTCTTTCCCTCTCCCTTCCTCTCTGAAATCAATAAAAACATATATAGTTTTAAAAAGTAATCTACAGTATAATGAACACACAGTCTATTAAAGCGTATGGACCTAGCTCCTTGGTTTCAAATAAAGTTTAGATTAAGGGACAGTTACTGGCCTATACTTAACAACTCAATTCCGTTTCCTCAAGGTTTCCAAGGTTGTAATCCAAAGTGTAATTCCTAATCTACGTTCTGCACCTATATACCCAGTTTGGCTTAATTACTTACCTTCAACCTGGCTAGTATCTGGGCATGGCTTCTTCTTTGACTCCGAATTCCCAGTTTTCTCATCAACATCCAGGAGAGGAATGTAGTCTGTTTTTCCAACAGTTTCTCCCACGACATCATCATAGGCCTCTGCCTCCAGGGTGGCGATAAAGTCCCGTTTAATCTCTCCCTCGATTTCTGGAGGTGGTTCTGTTAATGCATCTGCAAGACTGAGGTCAGCCATTCTGCACCACTGCAACTGCCTGGTTAGGAGGGAAAATGTTCATATGATGAGCTCTGCAAAGGGGAAACATTCTTGTTGGTTTTTTAAACAACAATAATATCCAAACCTTTGGATCCAAAAGGGACACCTCATTCTACAAATTAGAGAAATAAAGCTCAGGAACAGTCTTAGTCAAGGTAAACACTTTCTTCTCACTCTCTGGGAAATAAGCAGAGCAAGTGCCATTCTGACCTTTTCATTAGTAAGAAACATGAAGTATATTTTAAAAAGTCAATTTACCCGAGGTTACACCCATTGAGAATCAAATCAGGTCTTCGGATTTCAAGTCTTATAACCCTTTCAAATATTCCACATATCTTAATTTCCAAATAAGATCCCAGAATAATTCTTTAAAAAGAATAAACAGAGAGGTCAGATGAGATTATTAGATTCCCATTTTAAAAAGGTTTACTGCCCTAGCCAGTTTGGCTCAGTGGATAGAGCATCATCTGCCTGCTGACTGAAGGGTCCCAGGTTCGATTCCAGTCAAGGGCATATGCCTGGGTTGTGAGCTCGATCCCCCAGTAGCAGGCATGCAGAAGGCAGCCGGTTGGAGATTCTCTCTCATCATTGATATTTCTCTCTCTCTCTCCCTTTCCCTTCCTCTCTGAAATCAATAAAAATATATACCTGGTATATATTTTTAAAAAGGTTACATTATATCAGGCAAATGAAGTCACCTTTCTTGACCAAACACTGTGAGTATGGGCCTCATCCTGGGGTAAGTGCTGCTTCTTCATGAATCACTTGTGGATAGCTATGTCCACACCAAGCTACACTTGGGTTGGGCTGGCATGAAAAATATAGACGTGCCCCCTGAATTAGCTAAGAGTAGTTCTCTGTGGTCATATACATTACCATCTTTACAGAATATTAGGTTCTCAATTTTCAAACATAACCTAAAATTAAGAAGTGTAATCTATTATAGGTAAAACTGTGACTGAATAGCCAAGGAAATACAGAGTAATGCAGTCAAAAGAGCCAACAGGCCTATAATACACTGAACTCCCAGTACCTAAGGACAGAGAGACGTATGAGCTTGACCAGGTAAATGTACGTCAAATAGTGCAATGGCTACTGCTTCTGTCTGCCCAGACTGTGTTCTTCTCATCTCCCCTAATTCACACCAATGCCCCAGAGGCACAGGGCTGAGTTTGGCCAATCAGAAGACAGTGGTTAGAAAGGACCGTTTTATGACTACATCCTAGAAGGCCCACGGGAGAGTCTTCTTTCTCAAGTCTAAGTGAGCAACCTTCCGATCTTCCTTTTGCCTGATTTAGTCAATCTATTTCTGCTGATAAACAATCTCAATGAACACAGTCTTCCCCCAACCTAAATTTTTAAAAAGAAAAAATTTACTATGATTCAAGACACTCATGGTCAGGCTCTCCTTTCAAACTCTCCTCCACTGTCTACCTCTCTCCAACAAATTTACTACGGAAAGGAAATACACACAGCAGGAAGTATAGTCACTCTCTTTATCTTTGTCCCCAAACACTGTCCTCCCACTTTTTCTATCCTGTGATACAAGTATGAAAGGCATCCTTTTTCAATCATTATTTCTTCTTAGCTCTCCGTAAGACCAAGCTGTGACACCACCACAGTCATAAAATACGCACAAAGCAAATACATTTAGAACATTATAACATCAGAAGCCAGCCCATCTCCAGTTCCCAAGTCCACCACCTAAAAGGCTTTGCTGTGTGTTTCAATGTTGCAGAAAGTGTAAGAGTGGTAGCATAGATTGTAAGCTCAGTTCTAGACACAACACAAAGCACTGAGGGAATAAGCCCAAAGCAAGACTTACTTCTAGGCAAGTGTCCAGAAAAAACACACAAACATATCTATACATAAGGCCTCATCCTAGTGAGAACACTCACTATATATTATTTATATTATATAACTAGAGGCCCAGTGCACAAAATTCATGCACAGGTAGGATTACTAGGCGTAGCCAACAATTGGGGCCAATCTGTGGGGCAACTGGCGGGGCCCCCGCTGGCACCATCCTTGGCTCGCCTGGCGCTGCCCACTCGCCACCACCACCAGTCAGGGCCTGCAGGCTGGGGGCAGCTCCTGTGTTGAGCGTCTGCCCCCTGGGGGTCAGTGCACATCATAGCAACGGTCGTTCCACTGCTAGGTCAATTTGCATATTAAGCTTTTATTATATAAAATTGCAAGTTAAAATAAAATTCCAAGATTTGGGAATATTGAATTTGCATAGGCTTCTAAATAAAATCTTTTCAAAAAATGTAATGATAGCCCTGCTGGAATGGTTCTGTGGTTGACTGTCAAACCATGAACTAGGAGGTCACTGTTTGATTCCCGGTCAGGTTATGGGCTCAATCCCCGGTGGGAGGTATGCAGGAGGCAGCCGGTCGATGATTCTCTCTCCTCATTGATGTTTCTTGAAATATATTTTTTATTTATTTCAGAGAGAAAGGGAGAGGGAGAGAGAGGTAGGGCAGTTTTATCTGATTTTAGAACAGTATTTCCCATCACAAAAGAGCTTGAGCAGGTCCTATATAACCCTTACAATGCTTTTAATAAATAGATTAAATTACGTTGTTTTTAGAAATAAACATATATATATATATATATATATATATATATATATATTTAATTGTTGACACTATTACAGATGTCCCCCGTTTTCTAATCCTTTATCCACTTCCGCCCAGCCCCCACCCCTTCTCCCTCTGGCCATCACCACACTGTTATCTGTGTCCATGGGCTATGCATATATGTATGTTCTTTGGCTAATCTCTTCTCCTTCTTTCAAGAATAAGCTTTTTAAATATCCTATAACAAATCTTATAAAAAAGCCTATAAAAAAGCATAGTTTGATCCTGGCGAGATGGCTCAGTTGGTTGGAGCATCATCCCATACTAAAAGGTTGCGGGTTCAGGTTCATTCCCAGTCATGGTACATACCTACCTAGATTGCAGGTTTGATCCCGTCAGCACCCATACAGGAGGCAACCAATCAATGTTTCTTTCTCTCTCTCTCTCTCTCTCTCTCCTGTCCTCTCTCCTTAAAAATCAATAAATATATTAATATATGTATACATTTGTGGGGATACCATATATATAGATATAGATCTCCTCAGGTGAGGATAAAATAAAAATCACACTGGCCAACTGTTAACTAAAGCCAAAAATAAATATATAAATAAATCAAAAGTAATGATGGAAAAAATTAACAAAATAATTTTACTTAGCAATATCAGGTATTATTGTCACTCCAGATCTTGACAGGGAATATGCTAAAAAAATGACTCATTGAAGACCTTTTTAAAAGCCTGACAAAGTCTAACGTTAAAGGTTTCCACAGAAAGTAACTGCTTTTTTGCCCTGGCCGGTGTTGCTCAGTGTTAGAGCGTCAGCCCACACACAAAAGGTCCCGGGTTTGATTCCCGGCCAAGGGCATGTATCTGGGTTGCAGGTTCATCCCCGGCCTGGTTGGGGCACAAGCAGGAGGCAACCAATCGATGTGTCTCTCTCAACATCAATGTTTCTCTCTCTCCCCTCCCTATACCCTCCCTCTCTCCCTCCCACTTTCTCTAAAAATCAATGGAAAAAATATCCTCAGGTGAGGATGAACAACAACAGAAGTAATTGCTTTTTTCTTTCCTACCTATGATAACTATTATTATCCGTTAGGCTATGAAAACTGTTATGAACCAAAAACAATAAAGAATGTCTATAATTAGTTTCATAATCAAAGAGAATTTGAAAGGACACCTATACTATCCTTAACAATATACAATAAAAGCCAAATAGATTTATCTGTGCCAGCAATATATAATTATGACACTTATTTCACGCAATCTACTCAAACTTTTTCTAATTTAGGACATGGGAAAATACAGAAAATCCAGCGACACATTTTAAACCTCATTTATCTGAGTGCAGATTCTCCAAGAGCAGCTTTTCATCCACTGTAACCTTTCCCCTCACCATTCCCCACCACCAGCACTGCCCAAACCACCTCTGAGCTGGCACGCGGGTCATGGAATATGAACAAGAGTTAAATTCAGCCTGACAAGGTGAAGTCGGTAGAGAATGAGTCGGAAAATGGGAAGGTCAGCTGGCTCTGTGTGCGTTTAGCCAACAAACCAGCACCCACAACCCAACAGTGCGGCCGCTCTTTCCTGTCGCCAAGCGCAGAGACATACGCCGCCAACAGGCACACCATCTCCCCTACGGACACCGGCCTGTAACAGCAGTGCTAGTGCTGTGCGGAAGCGAAAGTGCTGCTTCTTCAAAGCCCCGCTTTCCAGGGCGTTAAAGAGATCGCCCAGCTGTGGAGTTACTCTTTCTAAAACATGTGCGATAAACTCCCTGAGTGCAGACCGATTTGTTAGGCTGGCTCTGCAAGGGTTCCAGAACTGATTTTAATAAACTCATGAATAAATTTATTCTCATACAGGCTCATTTGAGATCACTTAATATTCATTTATGCATTAAAATGTTTAGTCATGTAGCTTATGGACAAAAAGATATGACATAACACAGTGTTAGTCTCAAATCTGGATAGTCAGATCCAAAAATAAACCCTTGTGAATGAATAAGTATCTACTTTTTAAAAATATCTCTCGCTATTTGTACTATTCGTCTTTTATTCATATAGCTAATAAAGAAAGTTAACTTTAAATGGATTTGTTCATCGGGGGCAAGAAGAGAAAGCTGGGTACAGAAGTCTCTCCGCTTCGCTGAAGCACTAGTTTACACTGAGTGAGTCACCTTCCGGGGCTGAGTTCCCTCATCTGTAAAATGAGAAAGGTCTGTCACACGATTCCTGAGCTGGATTAGCCTATATAAGCTACTTATAATTCCATTTCATCACTTAAGTTAGAAATAAATAAACAAACTTCATATAGATCCTCAATGTAAATGTGAATTCGCATCATTAAGTTAGTATTTTCTGTATCAGGTACTCTCAATTACAACTGGGTTTAGGTTTATTAAAAAGCTTTTC